CAATATGCCTCAGGTCATAGCCACAATTATGGAGAGTGAACTAATTTCGATGGAGGGCAACGGCTCAATTCTACACTTTTTACGAGGCTGTCTTAGCATTATAAGAGATTGAATAGATCAAAGAGCCCTATTTACCAAGGCATAAAACTCCAGGGTTGGTCCCAAACCAGTTCCTTCTTCGCCAACGTACTCAATCTCTAGAACTGCCTTGCGATCAGCATGGAATTTCATAACACGAATTGCTTGCTCAAGAAGATGTTCTTCGGAGCGAGTCACCTAGAAAGTTGTAACGTTGATTTCCTTTATTGAAAAACTAGAAAAATGACTGACCTTTATCCGCTCATGCTTTAAGCGACCAACGCGATATTCTTGGTAACGATCGTGCGGCCTGCTAGCACTGCTAGTAGCGCTTTGAGCGGCACCACGGGCTCTGTCAAGAGCAGCATCGCGGCGAGATTGCAGCCATACAATTGTGCGCGACACCCCAAATGCAGTGGCTTGCATGTACATGTTCCTACAAATAACCAAACAATTTCTAAAATAAAATTGTGATTTAAAGAAGGTAAAATGCAAAAGCAACTTACTTGGTTTCTGCCGAAAAGAGACATGGATATGTGTAGATGAGGCGTTCACACCAATCTGGCATCGCTCTAGCTGCAACTACCAAAGCATCGGAAAGCTCCTAAACATTCATTTATGATTTATTTCAAGGATTTGACGGAATGATGCATGTCTCAGAACAACTCCGATATTATCAAGAAACCAAACCTGTGTAAGCTTCTGGGTAAGCTTATCGCTGATGAAGACCTGTGGAGACAATTGAGCATCAGGGAATCTTTCTCCAATACGTGAAAGCAAACCGATGACTTCCAAACACTAAACAATTGCTACTGACGGTGCATTTTGAAAAAAAAAAACGTCACATACTTCATTGACCGCTGGTGGCACTTTGCTGTAATCCGAGCTTATCTGGCTGAACTTGGTCACGTACGGTAGGGATGCATCCTCGTAAATCAAAGTGTATGTTGGTTCCCATACACGACGGCTGCGCTCGCATTTCTTCAAACAGCTGATTCAGATGTAAACAAATAAAAACAGCTTGACTTACCGTCCCCCAGTCAATTGCTCCGACAAGAGACTGAACATAATAGAACAGGCTGTGATCGTCAGCAGCCATTTCTAAGGTAACATTCTCAACTCCGCTCATATTGGGGCCGCGTAAGAACAGACGCAAAGATGTCTCGTCGGACTGAAGAAAGATGTTTTTAGATTAGTGCATTGTCACTGCGCGGAGATGAATGAGCCTAATAGCCAAGTTCGCCACCCACACTTGTCGCAGGCTTCGATTGTGCTGGATCAGGAACCACCGCAGGAAGTTCTACATCTTGGGTCTGGTTGACAT